GCCCCAGGACGGCCCAGGAGGCGCCCAAGACGGCCCAAGAGGCACCCAAGACGACCCCAGGAGCGGCCCAAGACGGCCCACGACAGCCCAAGAGGCGCCGAGGCGGGTCTCAGACGGCGGCCCCAAGACGGCCCAAGAGGCACCCAAGACGGCCCGAGAGGGCCCTAAGAGCCCCCCCGGGAGGCCCAAACGAAGGCCGAAGAGGCTCCGAAACGGCCACCACGAAGCCTTCAGTGCCTTCAGAATTCCCTCCAGGAGCGGGGGAGCGGACGAGAGGCGACAGGCATATCGCAGGCAAAAACGCCCCAAGAGATCCCCAAACGGCCCCCACGAAGCCCTAAGTGGCTTCAGAATTGCTTCCAGGAGGGGGGGAGCGGACGAGAGGCGACCGGCATATCGAAGGCACAAAAGAACAATGTTGGACGCTCCGAGGGCCTTCGATGTTTCTCCGTTGGGGAGAGTCGTCGTAGGATCGACGATTGCCGACCGAGGGCAGCGAATCCAGTGGAGGCCCAAGAGGCCCCCAGGAGCCCAAAAGAGATCCCCAAGAGGTGCCACGGGGCTTAAAAACTGCTTCGAAGCGAGGGGGGCGGACGAGGGGACCGCCTCAGGAGGTTTTGGACGGTTTTGGGCCTCAAAATCGTCCGCTTTACGACGGTTTTGGAAGGATTTTGGCCTTCTCGCCTTTTCCGCTTTCCGACGCTCGAAGACGGCCCAAGAGGCCTCCAAGAGCGCCCCAGAACGGCCCAAGAGGTTTCCAAGAGCGCCCCAAGACAGCCCAAGAGGGCCCCAAGACGACCCAAGAGACGCTCAAGACGGCCCACGAGGGCCCGAAGACAGGCCCAAGAGGGGGCCAAGAGGGGGACCACGGACCGAAAATCCGAGCCTTCCGCCCCAAGAGGGCGCCAGGAGGCCCAAACAGGCCCCCAAGAGGCCCCAAGGGGCCGCCAAGAATCCCCCGAAGAGGCCCCAGGAGGCTCCCAAGGAGCCCAAACGAGGCCCCTACAGAGGCCCCAACAGCTTCCAAAATGGCCCCGAAGAGGCCTCGAGCCCGCCTCCGAGCTTCCTCGCCGCGAGGGTGCCAACACGGCCCCAGACCGGCCCAGGACGGCCCAAGGCGCGCTCAAGACGGCCCAAGACGATTCCAAGACGGTCCCAGGAGGGTGCGCCCAGGACGGCCCAAGGACGCGCCCGTTCGGGGCCTCAAGACGGGCCAAGATGGCAAGAGAGTCCCAGCTGGCAAAAATCGTTAATTTTCCATTGTTTACTGTTACACCCTTTGCGTTTCCCGCCGTTTCGGCGGTCCGATGCACCAAGAGGCCCCAGAAAGTCCCAGGAGGGTCCGAGGAACCGCCCAGGAAGGCCCCAAGACGGGCCAAGACGGACCCAGCACAACCCAAGGCGCGCTGCGACGGCTCAAGACGGCTCCAAGACAGCCCCAAGAGGGTGCCAACACGGCCCCTGCTGGGCCCAGGACGGCCCAAGGAGGCGCACAGGAGGGGCCCAAGACGACTCCAAGGCGGCCTCCTCACGGTCCCAGACGGCTCCAAGACAGCCCCACGAGGACCCCGATGGGCCCAGGACGGCCTACGGACGCGCCCATGAGGGGCCCACGACGAACCAAGACGGCCCCATCAGGGCAAACGGCGCCCTCAAGACGGGCCTAGACGGCTCCAAGACGGCCCTTTGAGGGAGCCAACGCGGCCCCACACCCTTCGGGCGCACACTTGGGGGGGCTGGGAGCTTGCGACAAGTCTCCCACATTCATTGTCCTGCCCCATTCTGTTCGCCTGGAGGCCTCCTCCAACCCTGTGGGCGAACAAGAGGAATCCCAGCGGGACGCCAACCCTGGGGCCCGTGGGCCCCGCGCCGCTTGGGCAGAAGACGAACGCCGGGTCTGACAGGCCAGCTACCGCCCCCCTTTGCCCGATATGCTGTGCCATTCTGTTCCCCCAGGGGCCTTGGCAAACTCTTCGGGCCAAGCAGACCGGACCCCTGGGACAGCAGCCAATTGATATGACCCTGGGACCTCTCCGCATTCTTCGGACGAGCATCTGGGGGGCCCAGGAGATTCGGACATGTCTTCCCCATTCCTTGCCCTGTCCCGTTCTGTTCGCCCGAAGGCCTCCACAGACCCTCTGGGCGAACAGAATGGGACATGGCGAACAAACCCTCCCGTTGGCGGTGATGCGACTGGATCGCACCATCAAGGCGCGCCCGGAGGTGATGGCCGACCCAACAGCGGTTTCTCTTAAGAGTTCACTGGATTTCAAATTTTCTTGAAGCTCTCTTGGGCCCTCCCTGTAGATCCTTGCGAGCCTCCCCGGCGCTTTCGGTGGCTTTCCCCGATGGCCTCCCGAGCCCTTCCCCGAGCGCTCCTGAGACGCCTCAGATGGGCTTCGACTTCGACGCACATCCCCGAGAGACTTCGAAACTGTCCTCAATAGGAGGGGGGTGAACGAGCAGTGCGCTGGGCCAAGCTGCTGCAGCGCTGCAAGAGCTCGGACACGATGCGCGGTCTCGCTGCCGCCGCCCGAGCCGCCGCCGTGTTTGTAGATTTTCGGTATAATCTGCGCCGTTCCTCCGAGAACCATTCCAGAAAGATGTCGTGGACGGAGTCCACGGGTCAGCCCTAGTCATCGAAGGCACAAAAGAACAATGTTGGACGCTCCGAGGGCCTTCGATGTTTCTCCGTTGGGGAGAGTCGTCGTAGGATCGACGATTGCCGACCGAGGGCAGCGAATCCAGTGGAGGCCCAAGAGGCCCCCAGGAGCCCAAAAGAGATCCCCAAGAGGTGCCACGGGGCTTAAAAACTGCTTCGAAGCGAGGGGGGCGGACGAGGGGACCGCCTCAGGAGGTTTTGGACGGTTTTGGGCCTCAAAATCGTCCGCTTTACGACGGTTTTGGAAGGATTTTGGCCTTCTCGCCTTTTCCGCTTTCCGACGCTCGAAGACGGCCCAAGAGGCCTCCAAGAGCGCCCCAGAACGGCCCAAGAGGCTTCCAAGAGCGCCCCAAGACAGCCCAAGAGGGCCCCAAGACGACCCAAGAGACGCTCAAGACGGCCCACGAGGGCCCGAAGACAGGCCCAAGAGGGGGCCAAGAGGGGGACCACGGACCGAAAATCCGAGCCTTCCGCCCCAAGAGGGCGCCAGGAGGCCCAAACAGGCCCCCAAGAGGCCCCAAGGGGCCGCCAAGAATCCCCCGAAGAGGCCCCAGGAGGCTCCCAAGGAGCCCAAACGAGGCCCCTACAGAGGCCCCAACAGCTTCCAAAATGGCCCCGAAGAGGCCTCGAGCCCGCCTCCGAGCTTCCTCGCCGCGAGGGTGCCAACACGGCCCCAGACCGGCCCAGGACGGCCCAAGGCGCGCTCAAGACGGCCCAAGACGATTCCAAGACGGTCCCAGGAGGGTGCGCCCAGGACGGCCCAAGGACGCGCCCGTTCGGGGCCTCAAGACGGGCCAAGATGGCAAGAGAGTCCCAGCTGGCAAAAATCGTTAATTTTCCATTGTTTACTGTTACACCCTTTGCGTTTCCCGCCGTTTCGGCGGTCCGATGCACCAAGAGGCCCCAGAAAGTCCCAGGAGGGTCCGAGGAACCGCCCAGGAAGGCCCCAAGACGGGCCAAGACGGACCCAGCACAACCCAAGGCGCGCTGCGACGGCTCAAGACGGCTCCAAGACAGCCCCAAGAGGGTGCCAACACGGCCCCTGCTGGGCCCAGGACGGCCCAAGGAGGCGCACAGGAGGGGCCCAAGACGACTCCAAGGCGGCCTCCTCACGGTCCCAGACGGCTCCAAGACAGCCCCACGAGGACCCCGATGGGCCCAGGACGGCCTACGGACGCGCCCATGAGGGGCCCACGACGAACCAAGACGGCCCCATCAGGGCAAACGGCGCCCTCAAGACGGGCCTAGACGGCTCCAAGACGGCCCTTTGAGGGAGCCAACGCGGCCCCACACCCTTCGGGCGCACACTTGGGGGGGCTGGGAGCTTGCGACAAGTCTCCCACATTCATTGTCCTGCCCCATTCTGTTCGCCTGGAGGCCTCCTCCAACCCTGTGGGCGAACAAGAGGAATCCCAGCGGGACGCCAACCCTGGGGCCCGTGGGCCCCGCGCCGCTTGGGCAGAAGACGAACGCCGGGTCTGACAGGCCAGCTACCGCCCCCCTTTGCCCGATATGCTGTGCCATTCTGTTCCCCCAGGGGCCTTGGCAAACTCTTCGGGCCAAGCAGACCGGACCCCTGGGACAGCAGCCAATTGATATGACCCTGGGACCTCTCCGCATTCTTCGGACGAGCATCTGGGGGGCCCAGGAGATTCGGACATGTCTTCCCCATTCCTTGCCCTGTCCCGTTCTGTTCGCCCGAAGGCCTCCACAGACCCTCTGGGCGAACAGAATGGGACATGGCGAACAAACCCTCCCGTTGGCGGTGATGCGACTGGATCGCACCATCAAGGCGCGCCCGGAGGTGATGGCCGACCCAACAGCGGTTTCTCTTAAGAGTTCACTGGATTTCAAATTTTCTTGAAGCTCTCTTGGGCCCTCCCTGTAGATCCTTGCGAGCCTCCCCGGCGCTTTCGGTGGCTTTCCCCGATGGCCTCCCGAGCCCTTCCCCGAGCGCTCCTGAGACGCCTCAGATGGGCTTCGACTTCGACGCACATCCCCGAGAGACTTCGAAACTGTCCTCAATAGGAGGGGGGTGAACGAGCAGTGCGCTGGGCCAAGCTGCTGCAGCGCTGCAAGAGCTCGGACACGATGCGCGGTCTCGCTGCCGCCGCCCGAGCCGCCGCCGTGTTTGTAGAATTTCGGTACAATCTGCGCCGTTCCTCCGAGAACCATTCCAGAAAGATGTCGTGGACGGAGTCCACGGGTCAGCCCTAGTTAGTTACAACGCTGGGATCAGTGCGTGCGAGAAGGGCAAGCAATGGTACCGGGCTTTGGTGTTGCTTAGCCAGATGTGAGCGGTGCATGTCGTCAACAGTAGTCCCCGGGTCGGCCCTAGTCAGCTACAACGCTGGAATCAGCGCGTGCGAGAAGTGCGAGCAGTGGCAGCGGGCCTTGGCGCTGCTGAGCGAGATGTGGGAGGCCAAGCTGGAGCCAAACGTCATCTATCCCACAATGCAGCGATTGGCGAGCAGTGGCAGCGAACCGGCCCCCTTCGTGCCGCTCCCAGCGGGCCCTCGGGCGCTTCGGGCCGCCCCAGGCGGCCCTCGAGGCCGCCGCCGAGCCTTCCGAGCGACCCCGAGCGCGCAGCGGACGGTCCAAGACTGCCCCAGATCGACGCGGCACGCCCCGCGGACTGCTCCAGGACGGCCCCAGAACCTCCCAAGCCGCCTCCTGAGGCTCCCCAAAGGGCCCCCACGAGCCCTGAGGCCTCCCAAAGGGCCCCTGCGAGCCAACAAATCACCCAATTCCCATCGGAAAACGTGTATTTTTGGCAGGCTCGCTTTTTGGGTCGGCAGAGTGTCCAAGACGGCCGGATGAGCCTCCAAGGCCGCCCCAACACCGCCCCAGAGGCACCCAATAGAGCCCCATGATGGCCCAAGAGGGCCCCACGACGGCCCCAGGGAGCCCCAGGACAGCCTGAGTCGGACCCCTGAGCGCACGAAAAGCCCTCCAGGACAGCCCCGAGAGGGCCGCAGGAGGCCCCCAAGAGAGCCCAAGACGGCCCCGCGAGGGCCCCAAGACAGCCCGAGCCTTCCAAAACGTCCCAAAAGGGCCCCAGGACGGCTCCAGAGAGCTCTGAGACGGCCCAAAAGAGCCCCAAACGGACCCCTCAAGAGGCCCCCCAACGCTCCAAGTGGGCCACGGGAGGCGCCGCCAAAACGGCCCGAGCCACCCTGCCGATTACGGTGAGTTCGACGCTCGAGCCATACTCACTTCGCCACCTCCACGCCTGACCTCACGCGCGCCCCGTCCCAGGAGCTCCTGACAGTGGAGAATTGGGACATGCTGCCAGCGGCAGACGCAGGCGCACTCCCGCGCCGTCGCCTTCGCCGCCCGCCGCCGCCGTCGCCAAGGGGTTCCCCTCGAGGTCACATGGCTTTCCCGATCACCCCTAAGACTGTCTCCCAGAGTCTCCCGAGGCCTCCAGCAAGCTCCCACGAGAACCGACACGAGCCCCGAGAACCACCCAAGAGGTCCCCAAAAGCTTCCCAAGGGGCCCGCAGCGCCGTCGCCTTCCGCCGCCCGCTGCCGCCGTCGCCAAGGGGGGTCGCCTCGAGGTCACGTGGCGTTCCCGATAGCCCCTTATAGTGTCCCCCAGACTCTCCCGAGGCCTCCAGCAAGCGCCCGCGCGAGCCGATAAGAGCCCCGAGATCCGCCCGAGAGTTCCCCAAAAGCTCCCCAAGGGGCCCGCGGCGCGTCGCCTTCCGCCGCCCGCCGCCGCCGTCGCCAAGGGGTTCCCCTGGAGGTCGCGTGGCTCTCCCGATGGCCCCTAGAGCGTCCCCCAGAGCCTCCCGAGGCCTCCAGCAAGCTCCCGCGCGAACCGGCACGCGCCTCGAGAACCACCCAAGAGGCCCCCAAGAGCTTCCCGACGGGCCCGTGCGCAATCAGAATCGCGACGGGCGTTTGGAGGCCAGAAGTCCGGCCGGAAGAAAATCCGACGAGGCCGTGACAACCGTTGAAGAGTCTTAATCCGAGGTCGTCGTCCCTGTCGTCGTCGTCGTCGTCGTCGTCGTCGTCGTCGTCGTCGTCGCGTTCGTCGTCGTCGTCGTCGTCGTCGTCGTCGTCGTCGTCGTCGTCGTCGTCGTCGTCGTCGCCCGAGAACCACCCAGGAGGTCCCGATAGCCCCCAGAGTGCCCCCAGAGTCTCCCGAGGCCTCCAGCGAGCTCGCGCGAGAAGCGGCGCGAGCCCCGAGAACCGCCCGAGAGGCTCCCACAAGCTTCCACGGGGGCCCGCGCGCGATCATAATCGCAACAGGCGGTTGACGGCCTAATGTCCGGCCAGAAGGAAATTCGAAGATGCCGCGACAACCGTTGAAGGGTCTTCATCCGAGGTCGTCGTCGTCGTCGTCGTCGTCGTCGTCGTCGTCGTCGTCGTCGTCGTCGTCGTCCGGCAACCACCCAGGAGGTCCCCGAAAGCCTCCCTAGGGGCCCGCGCATAATCATAACCGTGACAGGCGTTTGAAGGCCAGACGTCTGGCGGAGAGAAATTCGAAGAGGCCACGACAACCTGTGAAGGGTCTTAATCCGAGGTCGTCGTCGTCGTCGTCGTCGTCGTCGTCGTCGGTTTCGTCGTCGTCGTCGTCGTCGCCGTCGCCGTCGCCGTTGCCGTCGCCGTCGCCGTCGTCGTCGTCGGGCGTCGTCGTCGTCGTCGCCGTCGTCGTCGTCGTCGTCGTCGGCCGTCGTCGTCTCCGCCGTCGCGGTCATGCTCGCTGTCGCCGCCTTCGCCGTCCTCAGTCACCTCGGACTCCAGAAACTTCCAAGACACCTCGCCGCCCGACCCCGAAATAGGTCTGGAAACGCGATGCCGCGGCGTCCCCCTCAACGAATTTGTTGGGGACATGGAGATCCCCCTGACAGCTCCGTCCGCCAGCGACACGCCGAGGCATGCTTCCCTCGCCGACGTGTCCCACGGCCCGACCCGATAGCCCCTGGAATGTCTCCGACACCCTCCCGAGGCTTCCCGTTCCCGCACGCTCCCACAAGAACCCACAAAAATCCCGAGAACCACCGAAAAGGTCCCCCAAAACTCCCCTACAGGCCCGCAAACACCCAGAATCGGAAGAGGCGATGCCCAGCCAAAAGACCGGCTGACAAGAAGTTCGAGAGGCCACCATTACCGCCACAGGGCATTCATTCGAGGTGTTCGATTGTAATTGACGGTGTTGGGTTTACAGGTATGTTTTCGGTTCGGTTCGGGGGGCCCGCGTCCACGGCGCGAAGACGAAACAAATGGTCTCGCACAACAGACCACGACCGAGCTGCCGCCCCACGTCGCTCACGGACACTGTGTGAGACCGCCCACGCAAACAACCCAATCCCCCAAAGTCTCCCAATGACTCACCAAAGTCTCCCAAGACGGCCCATGGTCCATTCTCCAAAAACAACACGACTCCGTAAATATTCCGACATGATCCTTACCGGCCACCCGACTTCTGCACAGCAGGCTGTGGATTTTCCACGGGTTCACACTAGTCAGCTACAGCGCTGGGATCAGCGCGTGCGAGAAGGGCAAGCAGTGGCAGCGGGCGCTGGCGCTGTTGAGTGAGATGTGGGAAGTGAAGCTGGAGCCCGCCGTCATCTCTTCTACAATGCAGGAATCTGTGCGTGCGAGAAGGTCCTCTGTCTTGAAAGGCCGCCCGGGCCCTCCGAGGCGCCCTGCGAGTACTCGGGGCGCTCCGAGACGGTTCTGGAGGGTCTCAAGATGCCCCAAGACGGCCCCAAGACAGCTCAGAGACGCTCGAAGGGCGCCCGGACGCTCCAAGAGGACCCCAAGTGAGGCCCAGGATGGCCCCAGAGGCCTCCAAGGCAGGCCAGGGGGCACACGAGACGGCCCAGGAGGACTCCTAGGAGAGCCCCAAGAGGCAAAGATCGTCCCATTCTCGTCGGAACGCGCATATTCTTTCTCAGCGTTCAACGTGTTGGAACGCAAGGAAAAGACTAGTATGGGAGAACTAGGTGTCCAGAGCGCCCATGACAGGCTACGGAGTAGAATGGGGGCGAACGCATCATTCATCTCGCCGTGTTACCTGCCCTCCCACCCCCTCGATGCGCGAAAGCGCGAGCCTGCTGCCCAGCAGGCCTGGTCGGTCTGCCTGCACCCATCGAGCCCGACTGAACATCGCGCCGTAGGGGCGCATTTAACGTATTCGAGTGAGTCTGCGGACCCCAGGAGACTTGTCCTATCTTCGTTCTTTCCGTTCGCACAGTTTTCAAGACGGCTGTACAGGCCTCCAAGTGCTCCAAGACGCCCCCATACGCTTTAGGAGGGCTCCAAAACTGCCAGTGACGGCCCCAGGACGGCTCCAGAGGCGCCCGAGATGGCCCAATGGGCACCCAAGACAGCCCCAAGAGCGCCCAACATCGGCCCAAGATGGCTCCAAGACGGCCCCAAGATGGCCCGAGAGGCGCCCAAGACGGCCTCACATCGCCCCGAGACGGCCCAAGAGGCATTCAAAACGGCCCAAGAGGGTCCTGAGAGACCCCTAGGATGACGAAAAGAGGCCCCTAAACGGCCCACAAGAGGCCTTCGATGCTTCTCTCTTGGGGAGCGTCGACGATTGGCGATCGAAGATCGATGGGATGAAGGATCCAGGGACAAGGAGGAGGAGGACGCCCAACATTGCGCCACGAGCCGACAGAACCCACTGATTGTCAGGAGGCCCCTGGAGGGTCCGGGCATACCGAGTCGGTTCCTAACGAAGATCGACGGGATGAAGGGTCCAGGGGAGGACGAGGAGGGGGCCCAAACTGGTGCCAAGGCCCATAGAAGCCACAGATACGCCCCGAGCGTGCCCCGAAGAAGGCCCCAAGAGTGTCCAGACACTCCGAGAAGGCCCCTAAAGCCGTCGAGACGCATTTTTCCAGATGATCCTGGTTTTCTGAACGTAAATCAAGGCAGAAGCAAGCTATTCAGCTCTAGCTTCAACTGCAGCGGTACATATTGGCTTATGGCGCTTCAGGCTGTCGAATTCTTGCGTCTGGCGGAGGGCCACAGGAGTTCGCAAAAACTCCCCCCCAGCACCTCCCCGGCCAGTCTTTCAAGTAGGGGATAGGCTACAGAATGTCCCCGCCGAAGCCACGAGCGTAACACCTAATGTTTTGTGCATCTACGAACAGTCTACGTATCTTTCGCAGGTCCGATCGGGGAGTCAGTTTTGGGGTATGTCGATTCTGTAGTCGATCCCCCCCGCGCGATTCCCGAGGGGCCCCACGCGGCCTCACCAAGACCCTGCGGCGTCTCGATTTTTCCTCGCGACGCGGGCCCCCGACCTCTGGGCACCACTTCCCCGGGGCCCTTTTTGTTCCTCCCGAGCCGTTCTCGGGCCGGCCCGAGGCCTGGAGGGCCCCCCCCGAGGCCGAAAAGACGTGGAGAGAAGCAGCCCGCCCGATTTTTTTCGAGGCGCCCGATGTCTGGGCAGGGCGGTCGTCCGGGAGTGCGTTTCCCATGATGGAGAATTATGGGAAACGCAGCTGTGGCTCACCGAGTGAGGTTCTTTGAGGAAAATGGCGTTCCCCATGATTGAGACTTATGGGAAACGCGTCTGCGGCTCACCGAGTGCAGATTTCTGGGGAAAATGGCGTTTCACACAATGGAGAATTATGGGAAACGCATCTGTGGCTCACTGGGTGCGGTTTTTGGGGGAACATGGCGTTTCCCATGATTGAGAATTACGGGCAACGCATCTGCGGCTCACTGAGTGCGGTTTTTTTGAAGACACGTGCGTTTCCCATGCTTTGCAGGGCTTGGGCAGGGCTCCCCGAGGACGGCCCCGAGCGGCCCCGTGGAGCCCCAGAGAGCACCGCCGGCGCCCCCCCCCGCGCAGAGCTGTCCCGAAGTGCACCCCCGGCGATGGCGCCGGGGTGGCCCCCGAGCGGCGCCAGTGCCTGGCATTGCTCGGAGGAGGGGGAGGAGGAGGAGGAGGAGGAGGAGGAGGAGGAGGAGGAGGAGAAGGAGGAGGAGGAGGAGGAGGAGGAGGAGGAGGAGGAGGAGGAGGAGGAGGAATAGGAAGAAGAGGAGGAGGAGGAGGAGGAGGAGGAGGGTTCCCGAAGGAGGCCATCGAGGAGCATCTCTGGGCCACCCCGCGGCAAGAGAAGCGCAGAGGCAAGACGCCGAAGCATGCACGGGGGGAAAAGGGCGTTCGAGCGACGGCAGGGTGTGGGTTTCACAAGTGTCTGTCTTCGGCTCCAGATGCCTCCTCCCAGCCTCGCTCTGAGGCTGCGCCCTCCCCCTTTCCTCCCCCTCCATGGCTAATTCAAGCTTCGTGCGGCCCGCTTAGCTTCGACCGGAAGAGGTGCGCTCTCGACCCGCGAGTCAAAAAAACTGTCTTCGGCTCCAGATGGCTCCGCAAGGTGCCGTGGGGCCTCTCCCGCCGGGCGGGCGTTCCCGAGGCCCGCGGGAGCCCCCAGGCGGGCCTCGCTCCTCGCCCCCCCCTCTCTCTCCTCGCTCTTCGCCCCCTTAGGGCTCCCTCTCCCCACGCTCCTCCCTCGCGTCTCGCTCCCGTCGCTCCTGGCCCCTCGCTCCTCTCTCCTCTGGCCACTGGCCCCGCCCGCCCCCTCTTCGTCCCTCTTCCAAGGCTCCGCTCTCTCCTCGCCCCCGTCTCCTCGGCCGTGGCTGCCCTCTTCTCGCTCCCCGCTCCTCGTCGATCGTGCCTCCCTCTTCCGATGTCCCTCAGGGGCGCTGACCCGTCGCTCCTTGCTCTTCGTTCCTCCCCTTCGACATACACTCACGAGCACCATCCTGCGTCGTCTATCAGGGGTGCAGAGAACAAGTTCCGCTGCCCCAAGCAGAAACGGCGAACAGTAGCAGCAGGCAGTCCGCAGCAAGCAGCACCACCAGCAACACGAACAGCAACAGGAGGCAGCAGCAGGCAGCATCAGCAGCACCCTGCAGCCGCAGGCAACACCAGCACAGGCGGACTTCGGGCCCAACGTCATTACGAACGCCTTCGGGCCACAACTCCGCCTTGTCCTGACGTGCCAGCTCGGACAGAACTTTTGGCCGACAGGCCACTCGCCAGCCCTGGTCAGCTACAGCGCTGCGATCCGTGCGTGCGAGAGGGGCGCGCAGTGGCGGCGGGCTCTGGCGCTGCTGAGCGAGCTGCGGAGTGCGAGGCTGGAGCCCGACGTCATCTGTACTCGAGGAGGAGGAGGAGGAGGAGGAGGAGGAGGAGGAGGAGGAGGAGGAGGAGGAGGAAGAAGAAGAAGAAGAAGGAGAAAACGAAGAAGAAGAATGAGAAAAATAAGAAGAATAATAATAAGAATAATAATAATAAGAATAAGAAGAAGAAAAATAATAATAATACGAAGAAGAATAATAATAAGAAGAAGACGAAGAAGCAGAATAATAAGCAGAATAATAAGAATAATAACAAGAAGAATAATAATACTAAGAAAAAGAATAATAAGAATAATATTAATAATAATAAGGAGAAGAAGAATAATACGAATAATAAGAAAAAGAAGAATAAGCATAATAATAATAATCAGAAGAAGAATAATAAGAATAAGAAGAAGAATAATAATACGAATAATAAGAATAATAACGAATAAGAATAATAATAATAAGAACTAATAATAATAAGAACAATAAGAAGAATAATAATAATAAGAAGAGGAGGAGGGAGGAGGAGGAGGAGGAGGAGGAGGAGGAGGAGGAGGAGGAGGAGGAGGAGGGTTCCCGAAGGATGCCATCGAGGATGCCATCGAGGAGCATTTATACTCGAGGGCGGGGCGGACCGCGCGCAGGAGAGGCGGGCGCGCAAGTGGCTCAGAGTCGGCCCGCCTGGCCCGGGCGCGCTCCCGGGCCCGCCCCAAGGGGACCCCAAGAAGGGCTCCAAGGTGTTCTCCAGGAGAGGCGCCCGAACGCCCCACGAAGTCTCCCAGAAGGCCCAGCAGGCCCAAGGCGCTCCCCCCCCCTATGTCTCCAAGAGGGCACCCGGGAGAGCGCCTCATAGGGAGCAAACAAACAAATGTGTTCTCGTTGGCGTCGATCTCCGCATGCTCCTTCTTCGGGCCTCGGGGCGCCCAAAGAGAGGCACCCCTGGATCGGCCCAGGGCCGCCGTGGCACCGCGTGCAGGAACACACGGGCGCCCAGGTGACCGCACGCCGGCCCCGCCGGCCCCAGCGCGCGCCCTGGGGCGCCCCAGGGGCACTCCGGGACTGCCCCGGAGAGCCCCAAGAGGGCGCCAGGACTCAGCACGCGAGGCGCTGCGTGGACTGGCCGCGAGGGCTCCACGACGGCCTTGGGGCGCTCCGCGGCTCAGCGTCAGAGCGCCCCCCCAATGAGGCCCAGGACGGTCCGAGAGGCCCCGAGCACGCCCCCAGACACCGCCAGGAGGGCCCCTGAGATGGCCTCCAGAAGCAGCATGAGCAGGCATGTGCGGACCGTTTCATTCCAGACGTCTCGCGAACCAAGAACATGCACGCAGGACGACGACGTCAACACAGGGCATCCGCGCGTCGTGAGTGAGCGAGTCGGAGCAGGTACTGTGAGATAGCGAACCCTCGTTAGGCGCACGGGGCCCTGTACAATGTCATTGGG